AAAATATCTATAAACAAACCATTGGGATTTGTATATAGCAAAATAAAAGAAAATTATGTTAAGAAAATTAAACCATGTATATCTAACAAAAATAGTGAGTACTTGTAAGTCAAATTAAAATTTATGCTACTATTATTTAGATATTAAAGAAAGTATACAATTTTTTTATTTTTATTTTTTTTAAATCTGTTTAAAGCAGTAAAGCCTCTAAGACATGGTGTGGAAGAATTAGAAACAAGAAACAATGATTAGTGGATAATGAGTGGGAAAAGGAAAGAGTAATCAGGAGGACAGTAGATAGCAATTGACATGGCATTTAAATTTTTGCAGGTTAAAGTTGGCTGGAAATCATGGATCCAGAAAAGAGTTCCACAGGCAAGAAGTGCAAGAAAAGAAACTGTTAGCATAGAATTTAGTTACATCTAGCCAGCTCAACTGTCAATTGATGAGATCTCGACGCCAGTGTAGTACTGCACTTAAATTCATAAAGTCAAGATACCATAGCGAAGAGCTCATCCAAACAATTACCATGAAAATATTTATAGAAAAAGACACTTAGAAGCAACCTTATTAAATTAAAATTTATAATTGAAATCATATTAAGATGTTTAACCAGTATCTATTTTAATATTATTTTCTTTAAATATTATCTTACTCAGAATGTGATAAGTTATTAAAACAATTTGTAGAAATACACTGAAAATCCTAAGAGAAGAACTTGGCAGTTATCTGGAATTAAGTATTCCTGAGCAAAGCCGGTTGTTATGTGTAATTAGTATTGCCAGTATTTTGTGCATTGAAGTCTGTTTGATTTGCCAGCGCCTTTTAATGGCTGCTAATGTCTTTATTTGAACTCTGCATGGTTGATGCTCGACTCTGTAAGAATGTCTCACTGTGCCTTCTTGGTCTCACCTTTTCCAATAACTTGAGGTGAAGGAACTACATTGAATCAATAGCTGCATCTTCTGCAAGGAAAGTTTGTTCACTGTATTGTGCTAGAAGGTTTTCATGTCAGTCCATCTTACACATTTACAAATCTACTATTCATCCATGCACTGAATATTGTTGCCATATCTGGTCTGGTGCCTTTGCTGTTCATCTTGAGGTTCTTGATAAAATCCAAAGAAGAATCTGCAATGTAATCAATCCTGACTTGACATCTTGACTTCAATCACTCTCCCATAGATGTGATGTGACTTCCATTTGTCTTTTCTACAAATATTTTCATGGCAACTATTCTGAGGAGCGATCTTCCCTGATGTCCTGATTACATGAATTTAAGCATGCTACTAGATTGGCATCTAGGCCCCACCCTTTTACTGTTAAAATAGTTAAATGCAACCACCATTTCTACTCCAGCAGTCTCTTTTTTCGTGCTTCCCGACAGTGGAACTTACTTCCTCTTATTTGCTTCCCTGATAACTAAAATCTTCAAAAATTTAAATGCAACATCAATCACCCTCTTCTGTTGCTGTGATTCCCCCCATTCATCTTTTATCCTTTCCTCATTCCCCTCTACACACAGTCTTCTCCCTCACTTTCAGTTTCTGTAACCCACTTCATGCTAGTGGTGGCTCTCCTGCCTTGCTTTTTTTTGGGGGGGGATGTTTTAAAAAAAAATGTTTGAAATGATTTTGTCCTCTTCTTTTTCAGGACCTGTTAGCAATAAACAACATGATCAAGGCTGAGGAGAAGAAAGCTCCTGGTAAACGGTATCTAGACATTGAAGAAGACGACATTGGCTGCAGTCCAGCCAAGCGGATTGTGTTGATGAAACGTTTGCAAGATGTGAACAAAGATCGCCAAAAGGAACAGAATGGTACAGCATGAACATCCTGGAGGATGAGAGGCTAGAGGAGGAAGACGTTTGAGAGGGAAGTAATGAGAGAGAAGTGGTGACTGTTCTAAACAACATTTGAAGAGAATTTCTGAGAGATTTCTCTTGAAACCAACACGCCCACCTTTTCTACATCTATGATATTGATAAACATCTCATGGCCTATGCCTCAATGTTGCTACTTTTTTTTTTTTTTTTTTTTCCCAAAAGAGATGTGAGCATGAGACACACACATTTTAAGTCATTACAATTCCCCTCTGTTATGTTTGCATACAAGGAATATAGAAGCAAACTTTTTTTTTTTTTTTTTTTTTTAATGTAATGTCTTCAGTACATAATGTAAGAAATGACAGGTGAAAGGTACCTTACATTTGTGTAATATATTCGTAATGCATGCACTTATGAACAAATCATGGCATTACAGTCAATATAAGCATTTTTATATATATATATATATATATATATATAAAAAATGGGTAACTTTACACCACTTTTTTTTTTTTTTTTTTTTTTAACTTGGCTCATCTCTCCCTGTTTACAGAGTTAACATGTCGAACTTCCTTCTCATTTACCTTGGCTTCTTTCTCCTCTGCTTTTTGCTGGTTATTTTTAAAAATTTGTTTTAAAGATTAAAGCTACTGCAAAGTACCATTACTCTTACCTTCCTGAACCATTTTAATGTTTCTACTGAAGGCAATTTGAATGCTGCCTGATGAGATTTCAAAGAAAATGGAAATAATGTTGTTATTATTATCACTGCTTGTCTGAAAAGTATTTTTTTTTTTTAATCTAATTTGTACTTTATTTCTACCATTTTTTATTTCCCCACCCACTCCTATTTCTCATATATTTTGGGGCTTAAAGGGTCAAATTTTTGAAGGGCAAGAAAACTAGAAATTTGAGGGATAAGACAAGAACAAATTGATTTTTTTTTTTTTTTTTTTTTTTAATATAAAACCCACTCCTGTCTCCTCCTTTTAAGATTAAAGCTGTGGGAGGAGGAGATAAGAGAATTGTATATGCAATTATGTTTTTAATTTTTAAAAGGAAACTTTCCTTATTTTGATTAATGTTAAATTGTCATTGTTTTTGGTTTTTGTTTCCTAATAGAATTAGGATAACTGATTATTTGTCTATTTTTATTTATTTATTTTTTTTATTTATTTAATTTTTTTTTGATATTTTTAATTTCTATTTTTCTTTGCATTTTTTTCAAATTTATTTTGTCTACTAAAAACGTTTTGTTTATAGTTCATTTTATTTCCATTTAAAATATTTTTTAAATTAATTATTATTTCTATTGTTTTAATAATTTTTCTTTTTTTTCTCTTGAAAAAAGAATACCCATCAAATTTTCAAAATGTTAAATTGGAGAGTTTATTCTAAAAAAAAAAAGTGCTGTAAATTTTAATTCTATATTCACTGACCTTTCAAAACATTGTATCATCAAATGGAATTTTTTTCCTCGAATTATCTCCCTTTTGTCAACAAATATTTTTTTCTTCTCTCTGTCTCTCACACATTTCTGCAGCAGTGATATGAAAGGCCTTTGATGCAGACCCCAATACCAAATATTTTATCACTTCATTTAGTTTACTTGGATTTCTGTTTGAGATTCACACAAAATGTCTAAAATTACTATTTGCAAATCTCTACCAATTCTATTTTTACAAAAAGCAAACTTTATATACTTAGGATTTGATATCGGGGTTGTGTTGATTTTTAAAGTTGTTACTTAAACTAAGAAAATTATAACTGTGATTGATTTTTCTTGTTTTTCAGTCACTCAATCGAAGTTTTTAAATGAAAATTTTAATATTTTAAAATTCAAATCATGAAATTATTCATCAGATCCTCAGACTGAGTTTGCATCATTTGTGAGCCCAAACAGAAAATAGAATTTATTATTATTAATTTTTTTTTTTTTTTATTTTTTTTTTAAATGGTAATTTGAAAATTTAGTTTAATGTCTCTAAGTAAATGGAGAATGAAAAAATTTCAAATTTATTTTAAAATTCTGGCTTTGTGAAGAAAGAACAAGAAGTAATTTTCTGTTGTTGGGAAGTTGCCTTTGTTTACTTTGCTCTATTAATATCAGAAAACTAGTGAAACATTTTTTTTTGTTGTTTTAGATGATATCTGTTATTTCAACTCAGGCTGTTTAAAAACAAAATACCATTTAAAAACAAACAATTTTTGACAAGATTCAAATGAAGAGAAAAGGCTAATGAAAGTTGTTATAGTTGTCAGTTATTGTGCAGCATCCAGAAAAGCTATTGACATAGAAATTAACCAGACATTGATTTGCTGAGCCATTTCTATCAGACTTGAAATTTTAATTTTTCCCTTTCTGCTTGCATTTCTATTGGTAGAACTTTTGGGCTTATACCTTAAAAATAAGCCAAGTCCCTGTGCATAAACTAACACATCCTACATGCAACTGAAATTGCCATATACTCCTTTTTTTTTTTTTTTTTTTTTTTTTTTTTTTTTTTTAATTAGAAATTAATGAATAAAATGGGAGGTGACTTCTCCTTTGCCCAGGTTAAAGAATGTAAGATTGTTAAAAAAGACTTATTTAAATCTGTTTAGTTTCCTCTTAGCCAACTACTATAATATGTAGATCACCCAACCCATTACTGAATAACAATATATTTCAGTGTTTCTCAACCTTTTTAAGCAATGGCGCACCTAGGAGCAAATGAAAGCATCACGGCACACTTAGCAAAAGTTTTAAAGCATATATATTTAGAATGTTATGAAATAAACCATGTAATTAAAAAAAAAAAAAAAAATGAACACACAAATATGAACTTAATTTATTTCAATGTTTCTATTCATATATTTGTATGGATTATTTAGTGTGAAACCTATGCCTGGTGTTTTTTTTGTATTTTTTTTTTCTCACAATTTCTTCAATGTTTCTGCGATAAGCCAACCTTCATTTCTTCTTCAGTTGAGCATAGTCTTTCTCGCTTATTTTTTATGTTATTTAGGGTTGAGAAGCCTAATTCACATAAATAAGCAGAAAATTGCAATAAAATCTTTTTAGCGAATCCGGGATAAAAAGTTTAATATTTATTCAAATACTAACATTGTACCAACACACACACACACACACACACACACACACACACACACACACACAAAATATTTAGTGGCATACTTAACACGATCAAGCAGTATGGCAGTTGAGAATCACTGGCATAGTTATTGAAATAAGAAGCTAATGTGAGGTGGAGGTGTATATCTGAAATGAAAATGATTTCTTGTTTCATGACAATGATTTCATCATACAAAATATAAATAAAACTTATGATAATCATAATTATTTGAAGTATTTTCATTATTCATCTTAGAATAGTTTTTCCTTTATCTTATTGTTGCTGTTTATCCCCCTTCTCTAGGTCAAATCCCTCTGAGCCTTAAAGTAAGCAATGTGCAGTAAAAAGTTCCCAACAAGCCTTGAACTTAGTCTATATCTCAGGAATTTTGTCTTTCATATATGAAACCCTAACTAATCTAGCTACAGAAAGCCTATGGCTAGATGAGGCTGGAATTTTTTACAGTTATCCTGCAAACTCTTTATTTACAAATGAGATAAGGTTTCAAGTCTTGTCAGAAGCTATTCCTCTTCTATACTGATTTCTTTAATGGTTAGAAGGTATTTGATCTTGAAAGTTGCAATAACAAGCAACAACTGTAATTACTCATAATAATTTTGTATTATAGAATGTATAACAATCTCATCCCTATCGTTATCATTGTTTTATTCTTTCTTGTTAACCAAATCTGTATTAAAATGGAACAGTGTGATGGCTAAAACTCTATCCAGTGTCAGTTCTTTTAAAAGAAAAAAGTAGCAGTAGAAAAAAAATGCTGGTATCATGAATTGCAATTTTTAATTTTATTTATTTATTTTAGTGATAATTTACAAATTCATTTTGTCATGTAACATTGTTGCTTAGCAGTTTTGTCAGCAGATGAGGAACAACAATGCAATGACATTTTATTGTTGCAATCCCTGCTGAATAAGTGTGATTATTGGTAAGATTTAAATTCTTTGATTGGTTATAAAACAAGAAGAATAATAATGCCACTTCTATTGATGTGAGAGTATTTTTTTTCTTGGTGGGATGTTAATGTGACTTTTTGTTACAGGTGAATAGAACTTAAAAATTATTATTTTTATTCTTATAAATTTCTACTTTTTCAATATAATTCCAAGTTGTGAACTTCTGAAATGAAGTATTGCCACTAGCATTTGTGCTGGTATTTCATTTTGACAGATATATAGATACACACTCATATATATATATATATATATATATATATATATATATATATATATATATATAGTGTGTGTGCATGGTGCGATGGATAAATTGTCATCTAAATTACACAAAAATGAAAATAACTCTGACATCTCATTTTAACAGATATATTTACCAAAATTACAAAAATATCTTGAAATACTAAAGAGTAAATTTATTCAATAAAATTGCTATTGGCTTCAATTACATCCTCCAGATGACTTCAGAATTTCCTGCAACTCTTCTGGATGGTCTCCTTAATGCTGCCATAATCCTTGCCTTCAGTTCATCTTTGGTGTTACAAAGAGTTTTGTTGGTCCCTTCCCCCAACTGCGCCCCATACATAATAAACAAGGGGGTTGTAGTCTGGGGAATTAGATGGCCAGATGTAAGGGGTGATGTGGTTGCAGAATTTGTTTGACAGCCATGACTAGGTTCTCCTGCTTGTATGGCATGGTGAAGAGACCTGTTGCCAGACATAGGGTCTTCCAGCAGCCACCCTCTTGACCCAGGGCGGCACTACCTCCTCAAGGCACTTGATATAGGTCTCCATGTTGAGTCTGAGGCTCTCCTCAACAAATTTGGGAGGTTTTTTTTTTCTTAGAGTGAGTTTTCCATGCTGCTGCACCTTCATAATAACCATTAGATTCATCCAACTCTTTCCAAATCCTCTGCACTAT